AACAGCAATATAATGAAGCATGATGAACAAAAGCATAGGCAAGCATTATCACACTTGAGCGCGCAAACCACTTTGACTAACGCGCGCAACTCGACGCTAKTCAGGAATGTAGAAAAAAAATCAAATGAAGACCATAACAGGCACAATCCACATCTTTATTTGATAAAGCAATCAGTAATCGAATGCTATGTTTTGTCAAACAAGCACATTTTTAAAATTTCGAATATATAAAAAAGTTTTAAAGAACGTTTTAAAATTATAACTTCTCATTTTCGGAGGGTACAAACAAATAAGATGGAATCTTATCGTTATTCACCGTGTTCTATAGCAAAACGAAAAAAAAAAAAAAAAAAAAAAAAAAAAACAAATAAACAAAAGTAATATGTTTACTTTGTATTAAAACAAAAAACCTTGATTGTCTGATTGGGTTTTTAGACTTTGGTCCAAAGGTTGAGTCCAGTGAACTCAGATGATATTTAATATAAATCATTTATTTTACACAAAAATATATCTCAAAACTAWTTCAACTATTGTGATTTCCTCTGTGCACTTTGAGCAGTGATTTTCTCCTTTCCTCCCTACAGCTGCTCACAGGGCACTTCCTCCAATATCTTTTAATGGTAATTATTGTAGAATTTAGTTATCTAGTTTTATACAAACTTAGAATCGTAGTATTTTAATGGGGAAGTTTTCTGTGATGAGATGGTTGTCTTGCAGAACAATAACGATATTAACTTCAAATTCTATGAAAAGAAGTAGGTAAAATTAACCTTAATACTGATAATCATAATTATATATTTGATGCAAGTAGTCTTTTGTATAAGACAGCTTCTTTTTGGTAAGTTTAGCATATATCTGCAATGGCTGCCATAAATAGATTATTCAGAGATTAAAATGTCTTACCAACTTTGAAGTTAGAAGTGGCTAATGTGGGGCATGTAAAGAGTCTAGGGAAGATCATGTAGATGGGAATAGTAAGCCCTCTACAAACATCTCCATCAGCAATCTAAGCATAGTTCATAATGAAAGAAGTTAGCAATGCATTTCTATAGATGCTTTACAAACAATGCATTCATTTCTCAGTTAATGGGACAMAATACTCACTTGGATATTTTGAATTTCTGTTGCTGAGATAAAAATACATTTAACAGTTAGCACAATATCTTTCAATAAAATACTTGTAATCAGTTCCACAAAATTGTGTTGAGATAATGTTGTACTATCTTTTGTCTATAGTTAAATGGCAAAAACAACACCAAAAACACATGATTTCTTACCATCTTTTGAGTATCCTTCTGCACATCCTAAAATAACATTTTCAAATTTAATCAATGAGGGTCAATATTGAAAATACAATTAAATGTTTTATAAAATATACATACCACATGTCTCAACTCTTACTAACTGTATCTCAATYGACTTGATGGGCGTGTCTGTTTCGGCGACAGTAAGCTAGAGAAAAACAAATCCTGTTACACTACAAGCTTATGTATTCTTTTCTTATTTTTGATGCTAAGTAAACTCACAAATAAACAGAAACAACAACAAACTGAGACCTAAAATCTCTGAAAATTACAAAAAAATATAGTCATACCTCTCCTGTAAGTGGCTTGARAATGCTACAGTTTACAGTGTCTAGCTGTCCTTTTACAAGAAATTGAGGAATTTTGGTTTTCTAAAATGAATATTAGTTATTAAATACGTATTAGTTTAATATGGGACTCCACAGTGAAACACTTGGTGGAATGCAAAGGCACTTACTGACCATGAACTGTTTCAAATGTACATAAAGTTTTATATATTGGAAAGCTAATTTACACCGTCTTTCTTTTCCTCAAATACTGGTGCAATCAACCCTCCACTTCACTTACATTTTCTACTTTCTCAAGAGAATCTGGAGTAATAGCAAACTTTACTGGCTTAACGTCTACTTTCCTTACTTCCTACAAATAAAGTACAATTTTGTTAATCTATTTAAAAAAATAGTATTAAAYCACATTAACTTTAATCTTTCAGTAACAAACTTGTCTTTAACTTACTTCAGATTCAACAATAAATTCTGCTTGYCTTTGTAAGTCCTTGCTCAATAATGATCTCTTCATTTCACATCTGAGATAATACTGACAAAGTATGAAAATAAATTAGTCTTATTATAGAATTAAATCTTTTGATATTAATTAAATTTACTTTCAAATTGACGATTTCCTTGCTAGATAACTGATTTTTGGAAAGTTGAGGACTCTCAATAATTTGGATATACTTTAATTTGTTACTTATTTGTTTTTAAATTTGCTTGACTTTTTTCCATAAAGTTAAGCTTTATTTCTATGTAGCAAATATACCTGCACATTGACAAAGACTCCATGGTAGGTTTCATAAAGCTTTTTGTTGCCTTTTGGTTTCAATGGAATCTCAAATGGTATTTCTGTTTTGCCATTTGGTGTGAAGATGGCAGTCAAGGTAAAAATAATATCATAAAATTATATCATAAAATTATATCATAAAATTATCATAAAAAAATCAACAGTGGAGTGCGATTATATGAGAACACGACTGACGAGTTGGCTAGCGAACTATAGATAACAACACGAGACGAAATATGATGCTATGATACATGATACCCTATACAATATTAAACTAAATTAATCACTTAATACCACCAAAAAGTAAACTATTGAAAAAGGATATAGTTTCCCTGGTTTGACAATCTCCACGCTGTAGCTAACAAGTTGGATAGGTTTCAAGGAGTTATAAAAAGCTTCCAGCACTCCTATACTTTTTGCACTAAGCTGAAGGTTAACAGAGCCTTCCATGAACAACATGACACCATTGTGACTTAACTCTCCTTTACTTTGAACAACAATGACACCTTTCACGATYTCCTGAAAAACAAGAAATACYTATGTMCTCTCAAACAAATATAGAACTTTGAAAAAAAGTGTACTTTCAAGATTAAACAATAAACAAATAGTGTATGAGAATTTTTGAGACAGGGGGAGGTCTGAGATATTGCKWGGGGGAGAGCCCCAAAACCTTTTTAATCGAAACTGCGCCCTATGTATTTTAAAACATTTTATAATACTCGGCAAAAATGCATATTTGCTTTAGTTTCCAGCAGTGTGCGTTAATACTTTTAACTGCTGCTTACCCCATCATGAAAGATCTTGCTGACTTTCTTCAATCGAATGTCAAGAGACGCCATCTTTGTTTCCTGTTTTGGGRCTTGAGCCCGCAAATGCAWTAATCAGCYTACAGCTTCATGAACTAGTTTCTCTCGACATTGAATGACCGTGTTACAAAATCCTGGGTACAAGAGTTTGTGAGCATGCGTATTGATTTGGCGGGAAGTGCAGAGGAATTTATGTTGAGTTGTAATCTGAAAGAAAAACTCATTTCATTCTTATTTTGTGGAGTATTTTTCATAATTCGAGTATAATGAAACCGTGAGTATTCAAAGTTATTATTTGAAATTGTTCAGACATGGATCGAAGGCTGAAAATCGATTTTTTCTGTCCGATATCCTCACTTTAGAAAAGCTAGAAGCGAACTTGGGGATGTGACAGTACATAATATCAAACAGCTGAAGAAATTAAACTCCGTTGTCTTTCCAGTTACTTACAACGAGAAGGTAAGAGAACAAAGATTTCAGAAGTTTCGTATCTGGCCCGCTAAAGCAGTCAAATCTGTGTACAAATCAACAAGACCTGAGCTTATGTCATTGCAAATCTTCGTTATGAAACACGTGCACTTTTATAATTGATTTTAGTATTTAGACATTTCATTCGGGGTGTACCAAAAGAATTATGTACATTTGTGTTGCAAATTACAGTTGAATTATTTGTCATCTGAAAACTGAATTGTTGARAAAACTGGGGTGTCTACTGTCTGGCACTCCCAATATATTTACTAAACCTCACCCCCCATGGTGCAGATGTCAAAGACATCGAACCTGATATTTTTACGATCTACACTCATGTTACATTYAAGGAAATTACCAGAAACATAGTTAATAGAACTAACTATGCCAGAAACGTATGAGAAGTTTAATAGTCTGTTATATGTCAATAATCTTGAAAATATTTTCTGTTTATGAAATTTGAAATATACTTTTGCTCATAGTTACTTGTCAAATTTTCTAATGTATATGTGTATATTGTCCTTTCCACAATAAAAGTCATATATCCTTTATGTCGAGCGTCACCAATAAAAGCTTGTATTTTAAAAACCTGATACTATAAATCTAAACTTGATACCGTAAACCATAAAAAACATTCTAGTAGGTTTATTATGCAAGAAGATTAGCTTTGAGATGATTCTCTCTGATAACCATAAATTAACATATTTTGTTTTGTCTTCTTTGACTGAGTCATAATTTGAGTACTGTGTGACTGAAGTAAAAAAAATTGGATTTTTTTTCCAGTTTTATAAAGATGTCCTTGAAGGTGGAGAATTAGCAAAACTTGGTAAATACCATTATTCAGTGCTTTTCATGTTTTATATGATTGTCTTGAGTTCTTGTCTTGTAACTTATCTTTCTATTMTTTTGATAGCCTACTATAATGACATAGTAGTTGGAGGTGTCTGCTGTAGAGTAGATAAAACAGAAGATGGGAGAAGACTTTATATTATGACTCTTGGCTGTTTAGCACCATATAGGAGACTTGGAATAGGTAAAAAGTGAATTTTAGGTCATGATTTACCCATGTCTTTGATTATAGCACCTTTAGTTGATGGCTGGAAGTGAAGGAGCAAGTGAAAGGCTGTAAAAGTAAAAACTGATAATTGTAACCCTCCCAGAATATATTTATTGACAATAACAACCTATATGTAGGATCTTCATTGCTTGCTGTAAACCTTCTTAAGCGAAATCCCAAGAATTAATTTTTGCAGACTATAGTACATATTTTGTAAATGGGCRATCAGGCTAAATTTCCAGAAGCCTGCAGGCATTTTGTTATACACAGGCATTCCAGCAATGAATAAACATTGATCTTTTTTTCCAGGAACCCTTATGCTAGAGCATGTCCTGAAGATATGTGAAAAGGATGGAAATATAGACAACATATATCTGTAAGTTCTTCTTATTTTTGGTATTTTGATAAGAATTGGAAAATGGCACATATTTAATATGAATGAGTCAGTTGTAGTCWCCTTTTATATGAAAATGTGCCTTCAAATGCTCCTAAAATATACTTTTGCCACARATAGTGTGAAATCTTGGAAGGCATGTGTTATTCTTTCAAAAAGGATGTGAACTTTAGAGCCTTATAACTGAAATTGCATCCTGTTGTTTCTCAGCCATGTACAGATCAGCAACCAAGGAGCCATTGACTTCTACAAGGGTTTTGGGTTTGAAATAATTGAAACAAAAAAGCAATACTACAAACGTATTGACCCAGCAGATGCTTATGTACTTCAAAAGACACTGAAAAAAACTGAAGGCAGCAAGAAGGATTAATGGAAACTTSAATAAAATTGCTAATTAATTATACAAGATTCAAAAACTTTGAGTATATATTGAGATAGGAGCAAAATGCTCATGGCCTTAATTAGAAAATTMAAGTTGTACTTCTAGCAGAACATAATTCTAAAGTCTTGAAGTAAACACAATATCAAAGTAATTTGTATTTCAGAATACTGAAACATGTGTGAATGTATGTATTGAGTTTCTAAACCGCTTTGACAAGATAATCACAGAGGTAAACAGTGAAAAAAATATTACACAAAATGTGCTTGACAATATTTTACATTAACCCTGGAGGAGACAGCTATCCCTGCTCTCTGGAAGGTATTCAACAGTTATCTTGTACTCACAGATAAATGATTTGCAATAGATTTTACCTTCATTCTTTATGAGGAGTTCTTGTCCTTACTTCGAATTTAGTTGACCATCATGAACTACAATAAATGATTTTGCCTTGTTTATGTATGAGTTTCTTTTGATAAGCAGTGGATTTTCTTTTGTAAATCAATAAAGTAGTAAAACTCAGAATCTRGTTTCTTTGTTTCGTGTGCTCATGTGGCAGTGCTTAATTTTAAATGTATATCGACAACAATGACATTCATCATATTCCAATGCTTGAAATAACGATTGCAGTATGTAATTGGACCAAGGAAAATTGATAGAGGTATCTGTATTTTTTCAGCCCCCCCCCTCCCCTTATCTTTGATGTAATACTACATGACCAACTAAACTGTCTAAGGCATTTTGAATGCATTTATTGATGAATCCACTTTATACAAATAATTACTTTTTCTTGAGAGAAGTGATATGCTAWTCATAACCCGCACTTGAATTATACTTTTATAGGAGCATAAATCACACAGAAAGATTTGAAAATCTAAAAATAATGCAATCTAGTTTCAGTAAGAAAGGAGATATATGATYTATATTATATATGGACATTTTATAATATTCTCAATTGTCCATATGAGTGGATATCCAAATATCATCTGATGACTAAGCCGGAGGCAAATAACTTTGAATACCATACTACTATTTCTTATGATAAGATAATCTGGTGTATTCATCTTTATGTTCATATTTTTATCATGTTACAACCTTAGGTTGGGTTTCCTGTGTTTGTAAGAAGAATAGAAACTGCATCAAGCTTTACTCTAATTATTAATATCAATACTGTGTTTGTTAAATGTCTTTCTCAATTAGACAGTTCACAGAATTGTTCCAAAACCATTCCACAATGATATCGCAATTACTGGTAGACCATGCATCAGGACGCTGAAGTGTGTCCGAAAAAGAGTTTAAAAACTCTGGTCCAATCTATTCTCCAATAATCTTCAGAATTCTTTCCTTAATTTTCTTGGTGGCTTTTTGTGCACCTGGTATAAGATATCTCTCCACTGACTTGACTTCAATGTTTTCCTGGTCGTAGGTACCATATTTGAAGGTTATAAGATCAGGATGCTTTCTTTTGGACGTGATCTTGACTACACTACCTAAATCATGCCGATGTTGGATGTGAGCCCAGCCTGGTCGTTTGTTAAGTTCTCGTAATACATACAAATGTGTTTCCATCAGAAGAATATAYCTGTAAGGGAACAAGTACTGAGTCAGGCAAATGTGTTTTTTTTTAATACAGTGCTTTATCGAACGCGCGCACACCCTATAATGTCATTAATTCAGATCAACAAATTCGTCCGTTTGTATCTCTAAAAAGAACAATAACGAGGGATGAAATATTACCCTGGTGCTAGGTAGCCATGAGACAAAACCTCACTGCATTTATATGACGCTAAAACATCTTTTCTTTTTAACCACGTGTCGAGATTTACGGTTTCTTTACGAACTTCTTCTTCGGAGCTAGAAATACTGCAAGTATCTGAAATAAACGAGAAGTCATCTCAGTTAACAAAGTTAAGAAATTACCTTACAAATGGAGAAATAACGGAATGAAAATATCAACAWGACATTGCTGATGGGATATTTTCAMTGTTGCTTATAGTGTATACAGTTCTCTCCAAATCGCGTGTAAAACCATACGGAAAAGACGGGGTGCTAATTGACTCAGTGTAACATGCTACGTGTTTCCTCGAAGCTTCTCAATCGAGTCCAKTCGAAACCTGCGCTCAACAGAMTTAGCAACGGGGATATACTTAGTAAAGATCCACATGGTTTCATAGATAATAGAGGATGGTTTGGAAGAGAAACAACCGGAATGTATATGAATTCCTTGTATCGTTTATAGTTCATCCAACGCGCGCTCGAAGAGACGCCGGTAACAAAACATGGTTCGCGACAGTCTCTTACCTCCATCATCGTCGTCGTCGTCAATGCTGAACACCTGTTTTACCTTATCGTTTCGATATAATTTACTTTGTTTGTCCGTACTGCTCACATGTCTACAGTGGAAATGAATACATTTTCAATAAACATATTTAGGAGGACAGCAAACCKGCAAAGTTATAACTACTTTCTTTTACTAACCTTTCCACTGGCTGGCTTGATTCAGCTATAAAATGACCTAATTTTTCTTTAACGTTGGCTCCTTTTGAAAGCAGCTTAGACGATAACATCCCAACTAGACTGGGCTAAAACATATAACAGCAGTTCGCTTAAAACCTTTCTCCCACTGGCCACAAAGCAAACAGTAAAACAAAATCATATTGTCTTTCAGGGATTTTTTAAGAATTAGTAAACGTAGGAATGTAACTATTTTTGAAGCGACTGACTTTGTGTACAACTATACCGAGGACGAGGACGCAAGTCCTTGCACTCTGGGAATAGAATAAAAAACTGAAATTTTGAAATTATCACAAAATCATTGGTATTAGCATCAGATGGTGCATTGCTAGGATCACATGCACATTGTAAAAAGTGTACTTACTCTAGCGTCTGTAGGACTTTGATCTCCACCTCGAGAAAGTTCATGGAAACTCTAAACCAAAAAATAGGAAAATAAACAAATCGAATGCAAGGGTAAAGAAATGATTGATGGATTGACCCTAATTAAACGCCAAAAACCTTTAAAGAAAAATAAATTAGGGAAGTGTTATATGTCATTTTCTCTACGCTACACAATAACTRAGAATCCTTGTCAAACGCTTGTGATGAATTTATTGCAATTGTTTTCTAGCCATATATACTCATTAACTTTTCTCCTTTCGGGTAGAGAGCAAAATAGTCCACAACTCAGGGGGAGGTGGCTGTCTTACCTCGTCCTCAGAATAAGCTTCAGGAGTGCAAACGATGCACCTTTGCAGTGAATGGTCGGCAAGACCAGTAGATAAATCGTCTGATAGTGTGTCGTGAAGTACTACGAATAAACAATAACTGTTAGAGCAACCTAAACCCCTTTGCAGTCACTATTGTTAGTTACGGGCTTCCTGTCTTTTTTCCCCGAGAGCCCGTTCAGGTCAATAAGAGAAATGAAGAAGAGTTGCCTGGGAAGAAGGCTAAGAGCAACCGAAGGAATGGGACAGTCTGGAAGTGTAGATATTATGGTTRATTACCTTGATAACCACCACGTGCAAGACTGACATACTTGGCTTTACGCTGTTGAATGATGAAAAATGTTTGTGAACATAAAACTAGCATTTATACGGTTCTAATGTAACAGTCGTTTACAGAATACTGGTGATGCCTTGGGTTGATACACTACAATAAACAGGTACCGGTTATATTGCAACAAAAGAACCGACAAGAAAGTCTTTAATACTAGATAGCTTCGCTTTGTTTTWACTGAATTAAACATCGCATTAGTCATATATGAAACCAGCTTACCGGGAACGATAAATACAAAAGAAATTAAAAAGGGCGGCACAAAAATTGAAGATTGAGATGTCACGCAGTTTAAGAAGATTGTCACGCTTCTTTTCGCAAKACTTCATAATGAAAAGATCGTCTTTTAAAGCAACGATACACCCAGATAACATATATATGTAACTGGATCTTGTTTGATAGCATTGCGGACCAAATGTTCAMTAAAGRTGACAATACTACATGCATTAGAGTTCAAATAACTGCAACTTCCGACCTTTTTCGTTGATGGCATTTCGACACACTCAACACAAGGGAATTCAGAAGGCTCTTCTTCATCTTCTTCAAAAAGAAGCTGAAATGTCGAYCTTCGTTGTTGCTCATCCATTATGTGGCTAAGTTATATTCAAMCGCATKATTTCTACTGATTGTTGATCTAGTTTGGCGTGATGTTGCCATGCCACACCCTTAGCAACAGTCATTGCTAAGTATAATATYCTATAGATACACCTTAACTTGGTTGAAAACGGTGTGGTTAACTTGTTCGCCGAATAATTGTCATACACAGCTTATATTTTGGAATAATTGTATTTTTCGCTCTCTTCTCAAGTTTGCCATAGTTTCAAATTTGCTAATCTATACCTCGATTTCTCTTACAACTCGTGGATTTTAAATTCACGAGTTATTGTATGCGRTCGAGTATGTTGTCAATAACMCCCTTTCCAATACAAGTCTGATTGAGTTATCGGCTATTTTGAAACAGACCAACCATTGAAATGACTTATGCAACTTTAACAAAGTGACCAATGAGAACGGCAATATTTTAAAGCAAAAATTAGAATTCTGCATCAAGAAACTCGAGATGTCCTAGAAGATTTATCCCTTTTACCTGTAAAAAGTTTGCAATAACCATATGGACATATTGATCCTCTTCTTCTCGTCCTGATCCCATGAAYCACAAGTGTTCTCCTCCTGCTACTGACCCTGCAGCTATGGACTGTTTCTGAGTTGCAAACAATGCTTTGGCAGCTGTGGCAAACTCTGATGGAGCTTGTAACATCTGTGGAGAAAATACATAATAGTTATCCATAAACAGGATAAGCTTCCTACAAGATTCCACACTAACAGGACACACAAGAGGACGCAACAGACAGGTCCATTAACACTTAATTTTTTCATTGAAACTGATTTGTTTGGACGTTTTTAAAAATCTGGTCACTGATTCAGGGATAGACAAACTGTCAAGCATGTTGTAATCAAACAGTCATGGAAAGAGTCAACAGACTTACCAGATTTGCATCCAAGTGAAAGGCTGTRGGCAAATGACCATTGTTATATTGTTCTGCAGGCCGACAATCAACAACAAAAAATCTTACTCCATCTCTCTGTCAAAAGATCACAACCAAAACATGATTGACACTTATATTATATTATTCAGCATACAGAGTTGGTAGAGTTATCAACTCTGACTGCCAAATACTAACATCATTGTTGATAATATATCACAGATAAAGGAGGTCTCGAAATGTTGAGTACTTACATTATTTAATTGATTGGCTCCTAATAGTTCTGTGACAGATACTGGGAGACAAAGGGCCTGTGCAATGCTGTTTGAGTTGATAGTTTTGACTCCAAAAAGCTGACTATAGTAGTCCTGTCATCAGAAAAACTAATCTCAGAATAACTTTTTTTTGTTGAAATATAGAATACATTGCATATTGTATGTTCATTGAACTGAAATTTGCTCAGGTTATCAAAATGCCACAAGTTAGCAACAGCCTTTTTCAAGACCATATTATACAACAACCAAACAAATGATTATACACGTCAAAAATATAACCCTCATAATCATCATCATCACAATCTTGGGTACTGTCAGCTTACACGACATTTGATGTAAAAAAAATTCATCATTTAGACTGCATTTAATTTCAATTCTCATTCACCTTTCTGAAAGACTGTGGTGTTCGTGATGCATAATATTGAGCWAGTGAGCAAAAATCTTCAATATCATCAGCTTCAAGCTGGCCTGGTATTGAAGCAATCATTTCTGATGACAATAAGAAACAAGAATTATTAATATTATTAACATGTTATAAAAAGTCCATATTTTTCTCACCTAAAATATCTGCTTTACTTTCACTTTTCATTTCTAAAATTTGCTCTCTGAAAAAGGAATTATTATATTTATATTGATATTTAGGTCTAGAGAAAATGAAAAATATGAAACTGTTTCTTCATTTGACTGGGAATTTTTTATCTGATTTTTAATCCATAAAATGTTAAGACATTCTTACCTTGCATTWACAACCATAACTAAAGCTAAGAAGAAGACAAGAAAAGGGTCTGATTCAAGTAGATATACATCCCAGAGAGTACGGATTACATCAGCTTCACAGACACCAACCATCAGACTGCGTAGCTAAATGAATATGAGATATTACTTAAAAATATTCAGTTCCCAGAATAGAAATAAAGACATAATTATACATTATTCTTCTAATAAAGAATATAACACTTGAATGAAAGTAACAAAAATATCAAACTCTTTATCAYTAGTTTATAAAAAAGTTTTTTTTCTGTTGTAAAATTCCTATTAACAAATATTCAGTTCTCTCTTTAATTTTATCATTTTTTCTTCATTTTTAATGGGACAGGGAGCCCATACATAGCAACTCATAATTTCTGCAGCTTATTTGCTTACCCAAGTCTGACTATATGAATCTGGTGATAGTTTTCTTGAGTCTAAGAAGGAGCACAGCTCAGGGTCGTGGTATTGCAGTAGCAGTCTAAGTAAATGAAATGGTTTGCCATCTCGAACACAATCCCTGAAAAATATCCACAATGTGTTTAAAACTACWATATCTCTTTGGAAATAACAATTGCCCTCATTTCATTTGGATGAATGTTGATGATGTTTGGGAATTAATTTACAATTGAAAATAAAAAGTTAGACTTCCTACAATATTTCAATTCAAGAAATGGAGCCACGTTGTAAACAATCCTTAATCCACTATTGATAAATGAAATCCTAGTTCTGTCATTTTCTTGGCAAATATCTACAAAGAATATACAGAGGTTGGATCCTTTTACCTTGGGATAAACTTGTAAAGCATGGAGTAAAAACAGTTATAAACATCACTTGTTGGAATATCAAGCATCATTAAWGGAGCCAAAATCTCAGTAAATCCACTTGTAGCCCTGTATTTCTCATTRCTTGACTTGCAGTAAAATGTAATAATTCCTTCCATGTCTCTTGCTACTTCTTCAACTTCATCTTCTGGTAAATGCAGCTTTCCTGTTCAATACACAATGATGTAAATAAACTAGTAGAAGTGATTCAGAAATGTYTGAAGAATAGTGACTGTGGTCAGACAGGTCAAATGATAACCCTGCAATAAACAGTCRGCAACAATTTGACCACAAAGTTGTATTTGCATAAGAGTCAGTCTATAATTAAACAGACCCTTTGTCTCTAAAGGTTACCATTATCCATATGTTAACATTGTGTGTCCCTTYTGTGCATAATGAGAGAGGTTGTGTAGATTGTTTTAGATTCAAGATAATGATATTTTAAAAATGCATTATATCTAGAAAGAGGCAAATTGACAAATATGTCTATTATGASTAATTATCGCTTAATATATGGTATAGTAAATCAGTGATCGCCAAAGGGGAATAACTATAAATAATAAATGAGCTAAACGTGCAAGCAAAAAATAACAATACAAAGAATCACTCAACTGCTTTATTAATATACTTTTAGTTATTAATACAATACAAATGTAATGTTTTTATTTAAAAGGATTAAGACCTCACAAAAGATGTAATGATCTTTATTGAAATTCAATTACGAGCTAAATTGATTGTTCACATAAACGTTACAAATGATTTTTAAACGGTCTGTGACCATGCAACTGAACAGTAACACAGCAGTATACTGACAGAAAACCTTACTATATATCTCCCCTAGGAAGTACCATAACTTATGTTATAATAAACACAAACTACATGGCATGTACATTAACAAATCTTACCGGATTGTCGCCTACAATCATCTCTGATCACATCTTGTTCGTTCAAATCCAACATTCCATCCCATGTTGATAATGCGTCTGGCTTTCCAACGACGTTCAAACACACCTAAATGAGCCCACTACAATCAGCAAAAAATAAACAACGATTTGTTAACATTAAAGGAAGCCTATACCTTCCAAATATCAGCTCTGTTTTCAACGGGTATCTTTCGACCTTTGCAAAGTTCACGAAGTCGTTCGGGGTCCTTCTGTTTCGACAGCGCTAAAATCAAGTCTGTGTGCCTGTTGAACACAAAAATTTGTSTCATCACAAAATAATAAGTAATTAACACTTTCAATGATTCAAAACCGAAATAAATGAAGAAATACATGTGGAATTAAAGACTTATTTACCATCCTACATCTTCAATACCTCCTTCCGCCATTTTGTATACGTCACCATCATCACATATCCCGTCGTCCCTCACAACTGTGGCCTATCCCGGAAGGAGCGGGATTCAAGCGGGATCCTAGAATTATCAGTTGCAGGAATTTTAATTATCAGTAATTTTAAAAGTATTGATCATTTAAAAAATCGCTTTTTTAAATATTTCGTATTTTTTTCTTCTAATAATGATCAAATATTTGCTTTTCGATCGTATTTGTATTATCATTAAAGAGAAGGACTGGTTCGAGTAGCTTGGTTAGCAACAAAGATGGCGGATGATATGGTTTGTTTTTCTGGCAGTTCGGCTGAAGAAATCGAACTTGCGAAACGATTTTGGCAGTCGATTTACCCGCCTGTGAAACCAAAATCAGCCTTGGTAGTTAAGGAAATTGATCAACGCCTCCGCACGGCGCCAAAGCCGCAAAATGGTAAAAAAGACTAGAATTAAGCTTTAAGCTTATATCTTAACAACTGTCTGACAGTTGACGAACTTGTTTCTTTTTGTAGATGCCAACTACGCCCACAAGAGTGTTAAAGAACTCGAGACAACTGAAAATGATTTAGGTATTTATGAATTTCTAAGGTGTTTTTTGTGCATAAGTTTATAATTCATAAAAATCAGTATGTAGTTTGAATGTCATGGTATCAAAGAGGAAACTTTTCGTTTCATTTTCAGCTCTCGATCAATTTAGACAAGATGCAGAAAAACGAAGAATTATAGAAGAGCAAGAATATAAAGAGAGAATAGTAAGTATGGTAAACAGGGAGGTCGGMACTCTGGTTGGGATCCTGGTTGGTTCTTGACAAAGGTTTTAACTTATTTTATCCATAGTTTTAACCATAGTTAATAGAGAGGACTACCAGTCCTCTCTATTAACTATGTTTTAACTATGTTTTATCTCAAATAGTTCGTTGAAATTTGAACTATACTCCACAGTCCTTGTTATATATGAATTATAATTCAGGAGATGATTTATGTTTTCTTTTGAAATTTAAAGAGTGATTTTCGAAAAGAATCCCAGAATCTCATTCAAAAAAGAAGAAAAGAAAGAATTAAGGTAAATTCTACTGTCATCATCATTAAGCTGTCATCATCATCATCATCAGTTTGCTCTGCTGGTACAAGTTGATGGTGTTATTGGTATGCACTGTACAAATAAATCCCTGGTCAAACAAAACATTTTCGTTGACTGATCTCTATCCTACATTGTTTTAATATCCCAACATTTTGCTTTGTGGCGATCTTGTTTGATCAGTGGTTTTTGATGGTAGGACATTGTTCCATGAAGCATCAATGGACAATTATAATGCAAATATGTTTTTATGTTATCATAACAGAAAGAAGAAATTTCCAGCAGGGTACTCCATCAGACACATGAACATTTTATGGACTTTTCGTAAGTAGTGATATCCATCCATCAATAGACTTCTGAACCTTTTACGTCACTACTTGATTTTCAATGCAATTTGTGGGATCAGTTTCTAGATAAAACAAAAGAAATCCATTATGTTTTGTCCCAAACATGTCCTACAATGCATTACGTATACGGTACATGACGTAAAAGCTGCAGAGGTCTATTCTATTCATGAATTTATACTTATAAGCCTATTCTCATATTTTATTCATTTGTTTGTTCACATGAAATTCAATATTTTATTGGGATATATAGAGATACTTTTTGAAATTAATGTAATCATAATTTCTGTATAAATCTTTCAGTGATTCAGAAGAAGAAGAAGAAGATGCTAGGAATGCTATGGATGACATTGAAAAATTCGAAGCAAAACTCAGGCAGCAAGAAAAGCTAAAACCAAGTTGATGTCTTTTCTTATTATTATGTACATAAAAATTGAACTTATAAATTAATATACAAATGTACAATGTTTAAAAGTAACATTGTGTGTTTTCCTCATATGAAAAGAATAATCATAGAATAATTTCATATTTGCACACAGTTTATGTGACAGAGTGGTTACTATGGTTATGATGAGAATGCATAAGATTTTCTTTTTATTGAATTTCTACCGTTTTAGAAATCAATACAGAACAATATTTTTTAATGTAACACTCACGGATACAAAACAAAGGCGTGGCTGAAGAAGTCACTTCAGTAACCATGCAACTGATTCAGACTACGTTTTTCAGAAGTTCTTTTTTCTTGGTTAATATTGTCGTTTGGTTTGGATATCTGCCATATTTCTCAAATTACACGAGCGAAATAGTACTTTTTTGAAAGCTTGACGGAATTCGTCGTTTCTTGAGGCATAGATGAGTGGATTCAAGCTCGAATTTGCAAAAGCGATTGTCATGGAAACCAACCAGCCGCTTTCAAAAGCACTTAGGTTATTTATACAACTGCGGTGTTTTTCCCAGGCAACTTGCAGAATAGCCATTGTCATGTTAGGAGTCCAACAAACCGCAAAAATCCCGATGACAATTGCTATTGTAACGGTCGCTCTATGTTCCCGAACTCCAGCAAGTCGTCGTTGTCTTTGGAACTCGATTGTAACACTCTGGAGTCTATTTTGAGTTCTGATAACAGCCCTCTGTTTTTTTGCTTCTTTGAAAATCTCGCGATAGAAGAACAAGATGACAATAAACGGAATTACAAAAATCAATATGGTTGCTACTAAGTGTGCTATTCGCTTTCTATGAAACCCGATGAAGTTGAAACTGGCCAAAGATAACGAGCCAAACCATATGATAACAATGATGACCTTGCTTTTCCGTTTGTTCATCAATTGTGGGTACCTAAATGGGCACGTGATTGCCAAATATCGATCAAAACTTACTGCGCTTAAATTAAATGTCGAAGCRGCAAAGCTTTGWGTTAATACAAAATCGAATAACTTGGAATAAAACCACMCCGGCCTGTGTAAGCTTCCAGCCAAACTAATAGGGATGAGAGTTGTTCCAATAACCAAGTCTGCCAAAGCKAGAGAAGCGATGAAATAGTTTGTAGGTTTTTGAAGGGACTTGTTTTGTTTCATAGCAATSATTATAAGAGTGTTACCAATGATGGTAGTTGCTCCAATCAAAATACATAATGTTACTGTGATTATCAGTAAAACTGTAGGATTCGGACTATTATTTCCATTTCTTGTGCAGTTCATAATTAAAAAACTATCGCAGGTGCAGTTGGACCAAGTTGATTGAAGTCCAGGATAAAATTTCATAGCCTCGAGTTCTTAAGTAAAATAATCCCGAAATTACGATCTTGTTTTTCCTCAGTCCAGAGCTGCGGCATTCACTGGTATACTCTGTTCCAAATTACTATTTACTTCAAGCTGGCTCAATTTCATCTTCCCAACTAAACAAACACTACTATCTTGCTACTCTGTTTGCAATTCAAATAACGTTTGCAAGATGGCGTCAATTGGCTAAAACTACCAGAGTGCTGTACGCATTTTCATTCTTATCAAGATTTTTATTCTCTTTGAGGATTAATAAAACGCTTACGAATAAAGTGCACAACTGAAATATTTTTGTGGCTAGTATTTAAAACCACGAAGCATATCGTTTTTGRCTATTGTATACATTTTGTTTACAACSMCGGCTTTCTAGTAAAACACCCTTTTTGGAGAATCTAAAAGAGGATATTAATTTTGCCACCTCGGATCCATTTTCACTTTCAAAATACAAAATAGTCTCCTTCACAAACACTGATAAGGATGTTTCCTATATATAAAATTGTACTATAGCTGATATTTGGAAGTTCATAGAACATCATGTACTGTTTATTGGGTTGTGTTTTAATCCAAGAACGGGAGCCAATGCAGGTGCATTTGGATCAAAAGAGAAATAACGAAATATAAACATATCTAATGTGTAACGATTTTATCTTATTTATAATCGATAGAAACTATACATAAGACTACTATTTCTTAAATGAAATTCCTGTAATACCACAAATATTGGCCTTACTCAAMTAAATTCAATGATGCGTGTTTATTCCTTATATTTGTGCTTGACTATTTTTTAATTAAGTATAATTCGGCAGTATAGTTCGGCATCAGTCCTCGAAGGGGACTGAAAATCGCAATAGGTAATAAGTCAATGGAATCTCCATGATTGACAACCTCAAATACAAAGGGAACGCAGTCCTTCAAGCTTGAATTTTCTTTGTTTTGAACATCCCAATGGGTATTTTGCCATCCAGTATGGCGGATTTTGTACCATGTAACCGTTTCATGTAAAAGGCCTATTGTGTTTGTATAAGCACTTTATCCTTGATCTGTCATGAGCTGCGCGCGGTTATAAAATAATCCGCCCTGAACATTGTTTACGAGACATATTTGTGAGTTAGTTCTATGTTCCGTGAAATGGAGCCGGAGAAAGAGTTCCGTGCGCAGCTAATCATGATAAACAGCTGCGATGCTTTACCGCCAGTACTCTTGTCTCGCAGCAATGGGATTAACGAATCCTGAATTAATAATGCCATTCTAGAATTGATAATAATGATTCCTAAAAACTCAAATAATAATATAATTCRTTCCATTGCATCGATCCGTGCGGACAACGAATAGAAGGAATCATTTAKAAATGATCAGCTCTTTTCTTACAGTGCATGAAAAAGTTAATTYTTTTCATCCATGGAATATTAAATTTGGTAGGTACTATTTTTTCATAGCTTCCCGATTACGGATTGTATAATAATTCTAACAAAAGTTACAGTAATTCTAGAGTAAGTTTTTTTCTTTTAATGATACTCATTTTCGTCTGAATTTGATTTAAAAACAACTATGATAGTTGTTTTTATTTATGCGCCATTCTTTTTCTCGGCCTTTCCGAGCTCCCATGCCGAGTCATTATCACGAGTAGTTATTTTAAGTAGGATGTCGGATGTTATATCATGATTAAAATTTCAGGATTTCAAATTATTTCCAGCTAGTTAAATGGTTTATTGCCGCTTTGCCCTCAAAATTAGACTTGGAGGCTGTCCTTTCCGTTTGGTTGTAGCGAGTAATAATGAAACACTAAACTCAAATTCGCTTTCCAGAACAAAACATCAATAACAGAAATTAATAATCCATGTTTTTTTGTTTTTAATATTAACGTAATAACTTAGACCGCCTGCGATCATAGAAAAAGTCAGATTAGCAGCTGTATGTCTTTCAAAGCTTGAAATTTGAGGTCTCTTGCAAGGGGTTCTCAATCAAGGCAATGTGTGAATCAGGTAAGCTAGTATTTCTACTTACTTTTAGAGACTTTTCAAATACTTCACAAAGATTTTCAACCTAAACGAACGATGAAGATTGTCTTACTTTTACAATAAGGTACGGTGTATATACCGACATATATTCTGATAATGAACAGCATTCACTGCAAATACAACATGTAAACTAGTAGTAATAGTAGTCCGGCCCTTTTGTATGTGCACTTCATTGCCTGCATTGTAAATTGTATCTTTTTGGCAAATGCATGGTAGTTCATTAATTCAAGGTTATTTCTGATATGAAGCTTTTTTTAAATAATGTCCACCGCTTACAATTGCCATACGCAAAACGAACTGAAAAGGCTTTTTTGATCCATTCAGTCTTCGGCATATTTTTCACAGCTGAATTGGCTATCTTTTTATTATGTTTCATTTCGTTGTTTGCTCGAAAACGGTTTTTGATATTGTTCGAGTAAAGGTGCAGTTAGTCAGGAGCCCTACTAGAGGTTTTACAGTTTAAAGAAAAAACTCTATCCTTTTTAAAGTAGAAAAAAATTCAAAAACTACCAACCAAAAAAGATACCAAACATAACATTAGCATGCAATCAACTAATTAACTGCAACCGGTCACAAACAACACAACAACAACTCGAACTTGTCGATTCGCGATTCCGACTTTTCAATTTGTTTTTATTAGTTCTCACATAGCTAACTTTTCTAAACTTCCGCAGTATAAAATAAACGTCGAAAGTACATGAAGGTGAAACTTAAATAAAGTCCTACATTAATTTCAGTTTTTTAGAACGTTACTGCCTTTATTTCGACATCGTTTTTCATCAATTTTTGTTGTCGTTGAGTTGTCGTTTTTTTCAGAAACACCATTCTATTCTTTAAATGACAGTGTAAGTGTATGCATAGAATGGCAAACTGTAACAAAAAATGCATTATCGTGCGAGATACATTTTGTAAGAAATTGCGCCGAAAATTGTACTAATTAGTAAACAATAGAAGACTAACTTGCCTTATTTAGTTAGAAAATTATCAGTTATGGATATTATGCCCATGGTATACACTATTCTAGTGTATTCATATATTTTGTAAGCGTTTCTTTGTCTTTTTATTTTAGGTGTAGTAGATTTTATTACACTTGCTTCATTTCTCTAGTGAATGCACRGTTTTCTCCAGCCAACGACAGTGAAAATCATGTCAAGTCATTTCCATTATAATTAGTAGATACATCGGCAGGTGTGTTAGACGATGCATTATTGTCGGTGTCTGTTAAAATCCGACCGTGCGTTTTTTCTTTGTGGGTCCTTTGTGGGTCTTTTGTTCAGAGTTAATAACCTTACACCGTCGAAACTAAGGTAAATTTGATAGGACGCTTAAAACGGGTTTTTACTTATTCCAGTGAACTTGTCAGGTAAGCAGTTCCATATATATTTCGTAACTATGGTATTTTCCACATTTGATCTTAAAACCCATGCTAGCATTGATCGAAATAATAAATAATAATAAATTTCAGTCAGCTCAAAATCCATGAAGGCTTTAAGCTGTGGTATTAAGCACATAAAGTTACTTAGTTTTTCACATAAATCTTTTCAAGTT